CACGCCTGAGGCAGACAATCTAAAAAGAAGGGAAAATTGCAAATACCAACAATAAAAGAGCAGCGCAAGCAAAACAAATGGGAACAAACAATTGCAACATTTCTAAATACTGCGAAAAGAAATCACAAAATCTGTCTCCCTGGCTTTCACACACATTTATGGCAAAATGCTGTTTAAAAACACAATCACTGACAGGCCTAGCGCCAACACAAAGGCTTAGGGTGGAGAGGTACGGCTACTTGTGTTACTAGTATAACTAGTATAACTAGTTTTAGCACTGATAAATTAGTACATTGCATAGAGATATGAAGTTGTACTTTGTAAGAATGTAATTGGCTCTTTCTCATCTTCAAAGGACCGGGCTAGCAATATTCTGTTGCTGTTGTGGCCGAAGAGGGGCCTTAAACTGTTTTTAATAAAGCAGGTCTGTCTGCAGTACTTCATCATTTTACTTAATTACCTTATCTGTGCTGTTTTACTACCCGGCCCGATTCATGATGATGTACTTTCTTACTTTTTGGCAATAACCTCCAGCTCAGCCTGCTGCTCATCCTCCTTGGTCAGCTGGGCGAGGCGGGTCAGGCATGCGTCCACCTCCTGAATGGTCAGCAGGCTCTTGGCAGCCGCGGGAAATGATTTACTCTCCTCGAAGAACATCCGCACTGTCTCAGACACATCGCCCTGAAAAAAAGAAAGGAGGACACACTCACTGTATATGCAATTTTTGACAATTAGTCCCTCAATCATCATTTTCGCACACAATGTCAGGAAACTATAATTCTCCCACTTTTAATTCCCCCAGAGAAATGTATTTTCTATTTAAGAATCTCACTGAAACCGCTTTAAATAACCACTGGTAAAAAGATTCTTGGTTATAAAATACATTCAGCATATGTGGTATAATTAGGACCCTTCGTGAAGCATAGGAGCTCATGTGTGACAACATGTGGATCACAGACCTGCTCCAGATCGCGCACCATGTCGTCCTGGTTGCACCCGAATATGCGGCTGAAGAGTTTTACGATCTGCTTGTCATTGAGGTTGTAGACGCTTTTTACGACGCCTGGCAGGAGCAGCTTCACTGTGAGGTAAAGATCTCCATGGAACTTATCTAGGATGGAAGAGAACAACATTTCAGCACTACAAATCCTGGCC